TGTTATTAATAAAATCATAAAGAAAGATAAAATGTATTTACTATTAAGTGAAAGTGGATCATGGTGAAGGTCTTCCCCCTCATTGTCTTCGGGTTGAGTAAGCTGAGGATGAGGAGAAAAAGGGGGGTTTGCTCTTCTGTCTCGGGGCGGCAGAGGCAGAAAAAGTGAAGGAGGTGAAAGGGCAGGCAGGAGAAGCAAGCATACTTGGTTCAACTTTTATTAAAAATATAAGTAGACCCATGCACTTCAAAATCCATGCTGTTCAAGGGCCAACTGCACATTTTGATATTTATTTGTCAGATTTTCTATCTATAGGCTGAATATGATGTAATAGAGTTTTTAAAAATCTAAACAGATAAATAGTAGGTATAATTCTACCACTAATGAACTGCATAACCTTTATGTGATTAATGTACTTTTCTGAACCTCATTTCTTCATCTGAATATACTCAGATGGTTCCTTCCTGTGCTGAGGTAGAGCTCCAATTTTATGATTGTCATTCATTTCCAAATAGAAAATATTTAAGAAACAAAACCTATAGATAGAGCAAGAAGTGATTTAGAGAAAGAAAATACAAAATTATTTCACAGATGCTCCTATTAAATCCATTTTTTAATGATTATATAGGAAGGATATCAGATTAACTATATGGATGTAGATTAAAGATCAAATCAATAGTGAAGATTCAAAGGATGAAATGACTTATAGTTTAAAATTTTGTCTATATATATTGCTGACAACTTATATTTTTAGCACAATATTAATTTCTGGGGATATGCTTTTTTATCTCTACCTATGTACTTGTTTTTCTTAATTCTACAATTACCGATACGTAAAAGCATTTATCTAAGCATCTTTAAATGGTTCAGTGTGTTCTTTTAATCTTGCCTTTGACACAGATTAGGATAGAACTATTTTTCTCTCATTTTTAAAGTCAGAAATATGAATAAATTTATTTCCTGTTAGTAAACCATACTACTACATTCTTGGCAGTCATTAAATTAACAAAGGCAGCAACTTAAGAATTGATTAAATATAGCTTAATAGGCAGTCATCTTTCATGACTTGGTATCTTCAGGTAGTTAGATGAAATTTTTATTATTCTTAGGATTTTAAAAAGTACCTCTGCAAACTAAAATTAGCTATGGACTTACTGGGTGAACAGTCACTCTTAGTCCATATGAAAAATCCCCGTTTGTTTATGAGTTAACGTATTTTTACAATTATAAACGTGAAACATAAATCTGTACCAGTTGATGCAACAACCGAAATATGGCCCTTTAGCTTTTTCTTCTTCTGTGTCAGCCTTTATTTAAGTATGTTCTGCAGAATGCTAGTATTCCTCTAGATGGTCCTTGGAAAATAAGATTCTATGAACAAACTTTTGGGAAATGTTGGATTCAACAAAGTGAAGCAAATAGTATTACCTTTGTTTCAGCATCAGTTCACCAAGAGTCTTATTTGAACAACGAACTGATTTTTGTGTGATGCTTCATGGGACTAGAAGTATTGTGTAGGACATATTTTAAGAAACACAGTTATGTTTAAAAACAATTTACATTAAGAACTTCAATGAAATAAAACAAAACAAAAATTACAGCACACCTGATCTCTGCTACTCTTGAGAGGAAGATTGAGCCTACCGGGACAGATGTTTTTCTGGTAAGGGAAGAGACAGCCTTGTTACAAGCATCTCATAAGTTTTACTGGTAGAACAGTATTCCTTTATTCTTTGAAATTATAAAGTGAACCTTCAAATCAAAGCAAAAGAAAAGTGTTTTCTAGTTAAAAAACAACTAGTGGAACATAAAATTGTAACACAACTAATAGAAATGAAATTGTAGTTTTTAGGTAAAATTTATTATATGATGGACTTGAAAAACAACGAGTTTCAAATCAGAATAATTGCCCTTTTCTTATAAAGTCAGTCTGGAGGGTGAGGATTGGAGATTGTTTTCTTTCTATGTGAATTATTTGTTTCTTTTAAAGAAACAAAACAACATAAGGAAATACCTGAAAGTTTTCAATACAGATGTCTCCCAAAGTGTTATTGCTGCCACGTTGTTTTTTCAACGTGTCACATAATGTTTGTATAATTTATAAATGATAACAAAGCGATCAGGCCACATTCATAAAAGCCCAGTGACACCCAATTTAGTTGAATCTGAGGATTAGAATTAATAGTCTTTCTTTGTTCCAAGTTCTAAATCTCAGTAAATGATTCACTGCATGTCATTACAGCTTAATATTTGCATGAAATCACAGTTTAGCTGGCATAATTTAACAGCAATTAAAAAGCTATTTAATCGTCATGCAAATTGGTATGAGGGCCCTTGAGTAAGAAGGGTGTCAGCCTTCTTTTTTTTTTTTTAAGTATCTCCAGGCGGACAGTTATATACTTGTTGACTCCCATAACGTAATTGATAACATTCTTCCTAGCATGAAAATATAAGTGAATAATAATTCATGTTTTCCATTATAAATAAAAGACCAACAATATGAATATGTCATCCTGTAGGAAAACATTATTATGATAATGATAATGAATCTTTCTCCTAGGTATAAGTCTAGGTTGGAGGTAAAAAGTTACATTTATCTCTGTTCTCTAGTTTATAATCCCCTTCACATTTGCCTTTCTGAAGGTAGACGCTTCTGTAAACCCTGTGAAACGTGACATGGCATAAAGGATGGCACTGGGTGACCTCTTAGAAAAATGATTCATTGCATTTCTAGGTGATGTACCTATAGGTAGCTTAGCTGAGGTCCGTTCCTGTTGTACATAGAACACTGTGGCACTGTTACAATAGCAAAGACCTGGAACCAACCCAAATGCCCATTGATGATAGATTGGACAAGGAAAATGTGGCACATATATACCGTGGAATATTATGCAACCATAAAAAATAATGAGTTTGTGTCCTTTGTTGGGACATGGATGAATCTGGAAACCATCGTTCTCAGCAAACTGACACAAGAACAGAAAATCAAACACCGCATGTTCTCACTCATAGGCGGGTGTTGAACAGTGAGAACACGTGGACACAGGGAGGGGAGCATCACACACTGGGGCCTATTGGGGGGAACTAGGGGAGAGACAGTGGAGGGTAGGGAATTGGGGAGAGATAACTAGGGAGAAATGCCAGATATAGGTGGTGGGGATATGGAGGCAACAAACCACATGGCCATGTGTGTACCTATGCAACAATCCTGCATGTTCTGCACATGCACTCCAGAACCTAAAGTGCAATAAAATACATATATATAAAGAAAAAAAAAGAAAACTATCCAGACTCATCCCAATGAGCCTAGCAGTCCTGCGTTATCTAGTCTCTTCCTGTTTCTTAAAACTTGCTTCATGCATTTCCCTCTGCAGTCTAGCCACAGTGACTTTCTGACAGTTTCATGATTATTTCAAGATCTTTCTTGACAAGAAGGCAGACTTTCTGTTCCTAATATTCTTCCCACCCCTCCACACATTCTCGCCACCTCTACAAGGCTTTCTCAGAACGTTACCTAAAACAGGGGTCCACCTGATTGATTTTATTTCAGCACCCGTCCTAATTTTTGTAATTGTACTCATTATGATTTGAATTTTATTCATCTGTTTGAATGTATCTAGCCACTCTACTAAAATGTAAATAAGAAAGCAGAAATAATGTCTACCATGTCTTATCTCTGAAAGCCCAAGATCTAGTAGAGTATCTGCCATATAATAGGCACTAAATGAAATATTTAATGAATGAATGGCTTTAGTTTGAAATCCAAAAGGAGATTTTATCAAAACTTGAATTTATTTCTAGGAGCGAATGTTGGGGAGACATTCCTTTCCACTCTCAAAACACATTTTCTTGGTAACAAAAGTTAGAGAATTGGTTTAGAGTTTTTTAAATGAAGCCTTCTAAAACATGGCATGAATGTTGTTTGACCAGTCATTTATACAATATATTATTTCTCTAAATATCTCCCGTAAGTATAATCACAGCAATGTGGATTCTGTGTTTTTTCACATATAGTGCTTAGCGCAGTGTCTGCCACCTAGAAGACGTTCAGGTGATATTTGTTCAGTGAACATAATGAAACTGAGGCTTGAAGGACTCAGATAAGTATATAAGATTATTCACACAATTTTAAAGAAAGGCTGGAAGAATTAAAGTAAGCTACCAAGTACGCTATGCCGTGTGATCTTCGTGGAAAAACAGAAGATGCTCATTCCCTCCTTAGAACTGACTTGGCTTTTGAGGTCTTTATGACAAATAAAAGAATTGCGTGGGCCTCTTAGGGCCTTACTTACTTTTAAGGACACACTTACTTGTGTTTAGTAAACTTAATCTAAATGAAAGTTTTGCCATCATTTCTTGTCTGTGGCCCCTTTTTAACCCTTCCATATAATGCTTTTATCTCATCAAATGGACAAAGACTTAAGAAAAGGCTTTTTGTTGCCTTTTAATTTTCATTTCTTTTTCCTTTTTTCCAAATTGTCTGTTCACCCTAACTTTATGGTCATTTATTCTTAACTTTTGGGAAACAGATTCTTAGTGATTTTCAGAAGCAATGAATGGGGATTTTATCTAGATACCAATTATACTAAGAAGACTGAAAAACCACAGTGTGTTTTGTAATTTTTTTCAAATTTTGAAAATGGTGATATAATTAATAAGATATAATTAAAGCTATCATAATTTAAAATAATTTTTGATATATATTTTAGTCTAGTTTAAAAAGCATAATTACCATATGTTTTAAGATATGCTGATTTTTATATTAAATATTGAATTTCGTACTCCAAAAATTTAAGGTATAGATCACCTTTATTCCTCAATACTCCTTCCTTGCTAGACTTAATGAACTATTTTAACCATATGATCATTATAGATGCCATTAGAAAAAGAATTCAAACAAACATAAAGACCAACAGGTGTTTATGAATGACGTTTTCAATTTAACACCATAATTCATTGTCCTATACATGTACATATGTTTTTTAATTGCTTTTCTCTAGGGCCACCTTCAGCTCCTAGGAATGTGGTTTTTAACATCAATGAAACAGCCCTTATTTTGGAATGGAGCCCACCAAGTGACACAGGAGGGAGAAAAGATCTCACATACAGTGTAATCTGTAAGAAATGTGGCTTAGACACCAGCCAGTGTGAGGACTGTGGTGGAGGACTCCGCTTCATCCCAAGACATACAGGCCTGATCAACAGTTCCGTGATAGTACTTGACTTTGTGTCTCACGTGAATTACACCTTTGAAATAGAAGCCATGAATGGAGTTTCTGAGTTGAGTTTTTCTCCCAAGCCATTCACAGCTATCACGGTGACCACGGATCAAGACGGTAAGTTCCACTGCTGTTCTGTCAAAACAGACCCATAATTTCTTTTGAAGCATAGTACCCCTCAGGGGCCTGTATTCACTGCAGGTACAATGCGGTCGTATACGTTATACACCGCAGAGGTAATTTTCTGGTGGTTGTTCTTTCCTAAACTTCAGAAAGGTGTTTTTATATTACTTCTCAGTAGTATGACTAATAAGATGAAATGCTTCCCTCTAATGATTATGTACTCATGTTTCTTATATACTCATATAACAACATATCTTAATGAGTAAGTCCATATTACTCACCAATAGAATTCAGAAATCAATAAAATGTTATTAAATGAATTGAATTTCAATTGCCCCACGTAGGCTGCCATCCCTTTTGCATGTCACAAAGCAAATAGTAATAATTTCTAAATTATAATTCCTGTCTATATTATAAAAGCATTCCAGCCAACATATTTAATTGTGATCCACTCTAAATAGCAGAAAAATTTAGAAATGTGTTCAAATGCCATAATCTATGTGAAGTCTGTGAAAAGTGGTTAAGCTGTTCAGAAATCTGATGAATTCAGTTAAATGTTCTCTTTATAACATCATAGATTTTTGCTACAATATGGTCAGGCGCAAACACTCCTATGATTTTTATAAGTATAGACTCTCTTTAATTCCACCATAACATAATTATATTGCAGAGCAGGAAACAGGAAACGCTTAAGAGATTTTTAAAAACCCCTTTTGAGAAGTGTTCATAAATTATATGAGCACACAAGTTACTGCCTTATAGCAGAAAGTATTATAAATGAACACATACGAGACAAATTTATAAAGATAAAACTATTCTTATACACTGCATTTGTTGCTAAGGCAGCCATAACAAATAAGACAGGTTGTCTGGCGTAAACAACAGACAATTTATTTTCTCATAGCTTTGCTGGCTAGAAGAATCAAGTTGTCAGCAAGTGTTGATTTTATTCTGAGGCCTATGTCCTTGGTTGGTAGGTGGCCATCTTTATCCTTGTCTTCATGTGGTCTGTCCTCTTTGTATCTAATATCCTCATCTTCTCTTCTTATAAGGACATGAGTCATATTGAATTAGGACCCATGCATATGATCCCATTTTCCCTTGATTGCTCTTTAAAGACTCCATTTCTAAATGCAGTATCATTCTGAGGTCCTAGGGGTTGTGACCTCAACATACGAATGTGTAGAAAGACAGTTCAGCATAATATACACGAAGGCAGCATATGGTGATATTTAAAATAAAATACATTGATTTGAATGTATTGGAATAATACTCAGAAATAAAAATGAATGAGGTATTGACATACAACTTGAATAAACCTCAATGGCACTTTACAGAGTGAAAAGCCTATTTCAAAAGGATGCATTCTGTATGATTCCGCTCATATTATATGTTTGATATAATAAAATTATAGATATGGAAAACAGATTAGTGGTTGCCAGGGCTTAGGGGTTTGAAGGAGGGCAGTGTGGCTATGAAGCAGTAGGAGAGAGTACTGTAATGATGGTTGTATATCTTGATCATGGTGATAGTTAACTGATGCTATGTACGTGATAAATTGACAGGTACATGATAAATGTCATACACACACACACACACACACACGCCCTGTGGATTGGACCAATATCAATTTCTTAGTGTTCCAAAATATTATACGTAAGTTCACTTGGCTGATAATCTTCAGAAATGCCTCTAATAAATAAAGCCATATAATATGGTACACTCATAGTCTTTGTATTTACTATGTAATTTTCCTCTTCATTTAGCAAATATTTCCACATCATATAATTTGCTTTATGGTTATTCAAAATAGAATTTCTGTTTTCTCTTTTTTTTTCCTCTTTAGTAACAACAAAATCTTGTCAAATATACCTTCAACATAAAGCAGAAAAGGGTTTTCTCTTCCTCTTTGCTTTAGCAAATGATTCCTAAGGATTTTTATTGCCACCACCTTATCAAAAAATACAATCTAGTACAACAATTTTTAGCTATAGGGAAAAAATTTAATTTCAGGACAAAATCAATATGTCACTTTAAATAAAATAAATATATAAATATGCTTGCATAATTTCATACATACAGCAGCCTTTCATTCTAGGATTACAAAAGAGTATATTTAGTTCACATCTCTGCATATCAAAAAGATAAAATATAAGTTGTTTTTCACTTTAAAATGGGATAGTTTATTAAAAGTATGTTGCTATATGGAAAAAAGATATGTGTCAAACATGAAATAACAGATGGAATCCATGTACTGAAACCACATATTCTGGAAGAATAATATCTTTAAACAATCCGTTCCAATTATTTATCTTTATTGGACATTAAGAAATGATGATTGTTAATTTAATTTGATTTTGTTTTAGATATAAATATTTAAAAAAGAATCAAAATATATTTTATTTGAAAGTACATAAGGGTCCTAAACCAACTAAAATATTGTCACATGTATACTAATAAAATATTATGATTGGCCTTAAATATGAACATCTACCTCCATGTTATAATTTTGATACCAAGAAGTCCCCCTCTTGTTGTGCCTGAAATTCTGAAGTTAAAGAATCACATCTGTGAAAATGCAAATACTCCAGGTAAAGGTAATTTTATGAACTAATTCAATCTGTGGATCTATCAGATATTCCTTCTGTATCCAAAGGAATCAGAGTGTAGTATTGAATTTAAAAGGAATTTATAGAAACTGAATGTTTCAGAATAAACTTTCAACTGATGCCACTTTGTTCAAGCCTTAATTAAAATAATTGTATTGCTTCAAATAGAGGAAATAATTTGCCATTGCTCCACGTTGGAGTGTCTTTGGAAATTCTCTTCTAACTATTTAAGAGACAATTGCAAAAGTTATCTCTTAAGACATTATGATTTCATTAGACTGAGAGGACAACAGTAAAATGGTTTACCTTCTTGTCTGTAGGTTACATATTGGCTGTGCCTTGTGGTAAAAAATGAGCTAAGGAGGTTTTCCTCTTAAAGCGGAAGCCTGTGTGTTTTTACACAAAAACAGAAGTGTGATGTGTTATTCATAAACTTTGAATTTATTTAACATATTTTTAGTGTATTCCTTGTATACGATAGTGAGTGAGCCTTTTTGTACTTTAAAGTCTGGTGGGAGGCAGATAATAAGCAGGTAATTTACAAACCTGTAGTTAATACTGTAGTCAGTACTGCTAAGGAGAAGCCTATGGTGCTCTGAAAGCATATATCCTCCAAATCGGGAGGATAAGGTGTGGGGCCATCTTACTGAGGAAACAACATTTTAATTAAGTTCTGCTCTGGGGGATGAATAGAAGTGATTAAGTAAAATGAGACTGGAATAAGGGAACTAATTCTGAGTGGAAGGAACCAAGCACACGTTGGTTAATGGAGGAATTAGAGACTGATCGTGTATAAGATAGCGTATCATAGAAGTACAACAGAATTTGGAGAAGGAGCTGAAGAGCTCATCTAAAATTTGGATAAATGAATGGGCGTCTGCAAACAGCTGCAACAATTTAAAGAAGCAGCCACCTATCAGAAGGTGCTGGAATTTTTCCAGGACCACACATAGGAAAAAAAATTCAGACTAATAACATTGCTCATGAGTTCATACTTACATGAGTATGGAAAAAATATTAGAGACCAAAAAATATAGACGATTTATTTTTTTCCTACTCTATGTGTGCATATTGTGGAACATGAAGATAGAGATGAAATAAATTGGCATCGGTTTGCCTTTTCTTTCATGTAGTTGACTATGTATATATATTTTTTCTCATATTTAAGAAATACTAAGAAAACCACATTAAACAAACCTGGCTTAATTGTTTGCTCTCTTTATAATTAAACAAATGTAAAAAAAAAAGTTTGAAATCACTTAGAACCACTTAGATGTAGTTATGAGAAACATTCCTTGATTATTCCGACTGTAGTTGGATAAAAAAGATTATAGAGTTAAAACTTTGACTTTCATAATAAGGAACCTTTGCAATAAATCTTAATTAACTGACTTCTACAATTTCTAAGAGCTATATTTGCAACCTTCTGTTTTTGTAGTTTATTTAAATGGTCTCAAAAGGTGTTTCATTTGGAGAGCAAAACAAGAAAGCAATGTGCAGAAGACATTTGATTTTAATCTTCAGTGCACGATAGGAAAACTAAGATTGTGTAGTTTGGAAAAAGTAATTATTCAGGTTTTAGGCAGTAAAGGAAATGTTTTTCCTGGATAGTCAACCTGAAACAAATTGTGTTTGTAGATATCCTGACATGTGCAAAAACCTGTAGGGGCCATGTTCAAAGTGAAAGACATGGTAAGTTACAAACCAATTCTGCTGATATTAGCTAAAGGGTCTTTAAAGCAATTATTGTCAGAAGCAAGTTGTCCAATTCATTGGCATCTTAAAAAGATACATCAGCACTCTTATCTCTGCCCTTGAGTGACCATTCTGTATAGGTCTGCCTTAGGATCACACAGTGATTGCAGATGTCATGTACATGCTGTAGCAGTAATAACTAATTAAACTGACTTTGAAAAATACGTTTAAATCAACCAAAGTCTCTATATACTTATAAGCTTAAGATGTCTATTTGGTTTACAGTTCACTGGATTTTGGAAATACAGTCTATTTCAAATGCCAAACTTTTACATGTTGCTGGAGTAAGTAATTAGGGATAGTGTAAACATGTGTTTATCTTTATATTTACATTTTAATGCATTTTATCCTTTAATATCTCTCACAGTCCTTACTATGTTTTCAAAAATGCTCACAGCAAGTATTCTTTTTAAAACCTATGCAATTATATTAAAAAAAAATCAGTGTGAAAATTTTAAATGCTTACTAAAAATACGTAAAATACAAACCAGAGGCATGATAAGTTTTATTTTGTTTATTAAAACAGACAATAACCATGACTTTAACTATTCTCCATATTTCTCTTTTTTTTTTTTTTTTTGAGACGGAGTTTCGCTCTTGTTACCCAGGCTGGAGTGCAATGGCGTGATC